ATAATATTAAAATATTGTCACAAAAATATTCTAAAAGAATTATTATCCAACTTAAAAGATTGAAGACGAAAAGCAGGGTCTGAGTATCTGGCGTGTGGGGCCTTTGTATTTGTTTGCCTTTGGGTTTTGGGTGATCCAATTGGATAAGTTTTCTTTAAGTTTAAGAAAGAACAGGATGTCCCAAAATATGAAGAAATAAATACCCATTATAAACCAAAGCTTGGATATCTGTGATGCTATAAATATTAGTGTTCATCATCCCAACACTTTCCAACTACCAACTACTTTGCCTTCTTCTTCTTTTTCCATTTGCATTTTCTTAACTTATTCCCTTCAAAATTATATTATGGCTAACCACACTATGAAGCTGCTCAACTTGCTTCTTCTCTTAGCCACCACCGTCTCATCAGATCCTGACCTTCTTCAAGACCTCTGTGTCGCTGACCTCTCCTCAGGTTCTCCTCTTTTTACACCATTCTATTCATCTTTTACATTTTATATTTATTTTCGAACACAATCCCAAAAATTAAAGCTTTTTATCTGAAAATTTGAGTTTCCCCTCAATTCTACTTGCAATTCAGTTTTACTGACAAAAAAACTCGGTTTGTAAATAAATTTCCAATTTTTTTAAACATGCAATCAAAAAAATGTCTGGTCCTCCTTTTTTCTGTTACCAGCAGTTTTTTCCTCTTTGAATGATTAAATTTGATCCTTTCTGTTCACTCTTGAATTCTTTTTTTCTTTGCTTACTTTGATTTTCTTTAAACCACGCCTAACTCAACATCAGTGTCCAAGACATTCCACTTCTACCTACTACTTTAATTTTGCTTTCTCCTGACTCCAGTGTTTAATCATTTTAACTCAAATATATATAGTATTCCCACTCACATCATTAACTTTTATTTGTCTCTTTCCTCTATTTATCAACACATCACACGTCAATACTTCCTTTGTTTTTATTCTTTCTAAAAACAACCGTAAATTGCATCATTTCAAGCATAACTCACAACTGGTGTATCAAAATGTTGTTAAAATTTATGTTAATGTATGATTGTCCTAGTAATTAAAGAGTGGTTGTTACTGTGACTAAAAAAACAGGTGTGAAAGTGAATGGATTCAGCTGCAAAGAAGCATCAAAGATAAATGCCTCAGATTTCTTCTCGAACATACTAGGAAAAGCAGGATCGACCAACAACACCTTTGGGTCAATAGTGACTGGAGCGAATGTTGAGAAAGTCCCAGGACTGAACACACTTGGTGTGTCTCTGTCAAGAATTGACTATGCCCCAGATGGCATAAACCCTCCTCACACTCACCCTCGTGCCACTGAGATTGTCTTTGTGCTTGAAGGCCAACTAGATGTAGGCTTCATAACCACTTCCAATCTCCTCATATCAAAGACCATTAGCAAGGGTGACATATTTGTCTTTCCAAAAGGCTTAGTTCACTTCCAACGGAACAATGCCAACGTCCCTGCTGCTGTCATTTCAGCCTTCAACAGCCAACTTCCAGGGACACAGTCAATTGCTACAACCTTGTTTTCTGCCACACCTTCACTTCCCGACCATGTCTTGACCAAGACCTTCCAGGTTGGTACCAACGTCGTTGAGAAAATCAAGTCCAGGCTTGCACCTAAGAAGTAAAAACTGCTACATTGGTTCGGCTATCTTGTGTCTTCTCAACAATAAATACTCCTTATTCATTCTTTCTGAAAAATTCAAAACCATTATCATATAATGTGAAGATAAATTAAAACTGCTTGTTCTATAAAGATTGATCCAGATAGCTAATTGTTTCTCTTTCTCCATTTTCTTTATCATCTCTTCTTTTAATCTTTTGTCATTCACCTTACATTTCGTGGTTGGAACAACTCATAAATTTGTTTAATAGTTTAAATTTGAAAGATCTTGCATTTCCGGTCATTAGTGTATAACATAATCTTCGATCTAAAACCTCAAAGTCATAGGTCTATGACTTTTTCCGTGTAAATTGTTCTTGTTTATGACGTTCCTTTGCTTTAAGCTTTTCTTTTTCCTTTTACTTTACCTTTACTTATCCATCAGTTAATACGTAACCATATAATAGGTAAATGGATCCCACAAGAACTGGCTGAGTCTAATAACACCACAGATCATGTTATCCAATGGCACAAACCAAATCTTAAATTAGGTTTTCAATTTCTACAGAGACTATTTTAATATGCAGAATTTCAAAAATCTTTTATCATTTGTAAAAAGATTTATTTTAGTATAGATAATGGTAAAGATTAAAAAAACTTACTTTACAATGTTAGAGTGATGGAATTTTCAAGATTTCAGAAAATAAAATATCTAATAGAGTGAACCTGCATCCATGAGAGTGAACCAAAAGTAGACTGTTAATCAAGTTAATATATTTTGTTGCCAATTTTTCGGTTTAAATCATTGCCATTTATGTGGATATATTTAATTCGATTATAGTCCTCCAGAAAGTATCTTATGATTTACTTTAGTAGTCGGAAATTTAGTTGTTTTGACAAATCCTTATTACTACTTAGAATAATGGAAATAGGCATGCTATGATTTTAATCATAAAAGTCAATAAAAAATTAACAAACCTAAATATAAATTTAGCTATATTTATAAATTACCAAAAATGAAAAAAATACTTTATCAGGAAATTTTTGGTTGAAAGCTCCTTGATTATAACACAACCATCTTTCATTATTGTGCCTCTTATAACAATAAAGTGGTGTTGGAGTAAAATTCACGGCATTTATACTAATTCCTCAAGTTACGATTTTAGTATTTCTGATTTAAACTGCTTTCAATTTTTAATTTGTTTATATTATATTATGCACTACGCTAAATGAAATTATTTCTTCTCATATTTTATTAAATTAAACAAAAACTAACAGTGACAACTAAATAACATTATTTCCTTATCTCTAGGTAATAAATAAAATATTGTAAAGGAACGGCGCCAAACTTTTCATTTGTAATAAATAAAATAATAAACTACAGCAAACTTATGTCATAATTTGTTTATTTATTTTATAAACATTATACAGCTTTCTTAATTCAAAAACCAAAAAAAAAAAACCTTTTTGTCTAGAAAACCCCACTCACAAACATTCCCTAGTAATCTATTTAGATGAGAGGAAAATAAATAAACAATAACAACGATACATCTTGTTTAGTTAAGAGAGATAATTAAGTTAACTTCCAAAAATTAAAATTAAAATTTTTCTCACATTTAATATCCTTATCCAGATTTGTTTACTTCTTTCCTCTGAAAAAAGAGAGAGGATAACATCCTAAGCTATCAAGTCAAGTGTTTCAGCAAATGAGTAGAAGTATTTTCATAAAGGCTACAGCAATTTGTCACAAAAGAGAAACAAAAACTTATCCAATTGCTAGTCAAAATCCACTTACAATTGTTTGCTTACAAACATAATACAGTGCGCTAGTAAACATAATAGTTCCACAAATTTGTTATCCTCATTACCAACAATGCTGAGTGTGAAAGTGGATTGTGTGCCAAACAGTTTTAAGGTCAAAAATATCACTTCGAACCTGTCTGCTGCCTGCCATCAGGAATTGCATAAAGCACAATGGGTTGTGAGGGGCGAATGAAGGGTACATCACACCTGAAATATCCCTTTCTCTCAAGCTGCAATACATCTCCACGCTGAAGATTTCGCATGTTGGAGTCTCCATACGCTAAAATCTCCTTTTTGGTACATGGGTTAAGCACGTCAATGAAATCCTCCCCCTCTTCAAGCTGCAGTCAAACAATAACATGAAATATTCTGTAAGAAATATTGGAAACAACTTTTATTGTTTTCATTTTTTCTAATACAAACTTAGGAAAACCAAACAACGCCTTTACTTTTTCCTAATTTATATTTCCTAAATTTTTAGTCATAGAAACAAATGGGCTGAAACAACCGGATGAACACATACCTTTTTCTTTGTAATTAGGTAATCAAACTCCACCATTGTCAGGCTAACTAGTTCATCTATCTCGGGAAGCCAAGTGAGTTTCAATTTGGTGGTCTTCACAGATCCTTCAAGATGCAAAACACCACTCAACCCTGTGATATTTCCATCTTGGTCCTTCTCTATTTCCTTCACTATGGCATTTCCCCAATCCATCAGTGTTACCTCCTCACCTGCTGATATAGACTCTGCATCAACATGGTCAATCCAGATCCTTTTAGTATAAGTTGTAGCTTTATCTCCGGCAGCTTCATATTTCTTGTGTCGAGGTATGATGCGGACAAATGGTTTCTCAGGACCATCAGTGAGAGTCAACAACACACGTTTGTCTGCAATGACAGCAGTGTGTCTAGGACAGACAGGATCAATAATCTTCTTATTAATAGTCCACAGCTTGTCCCATTCCATGAGATTGAGATTTTTTGATGCACCCTGTATAGTATCAGAGAAGAGTCATCAATATTCTTACGCATATGACCAATATAAGATTGCACACACATAAAAAGGACAGCAATTGATAAACACAGTCTACTCATCATTTCTACTTTGAAAGAGAATGCATCTTTTTTCTTTATTTAGTAAATGAAAGCAAGAACTTCTACTTACTTGCTCAACAATAAACTGTATCAGTGCTTCAATTTTCAAACCTCTTCGCACAATTCCTTGCACAGTAGGAAATCTTGCATCATCCCATCCATCAACTTTCCCATTTTGTACAAACCATAGAAGCTTTCGTTTGCTGAGGAGAGTGTAAACCATATTCAACCGGCTGAATTCATAGATAAGAACTTTTCTAAGACCCATGTCCTCTTGAATTCGGTAATACTGAGCATTGCGGTCATGGTATTCACTTGATCGCAGGGCATGTGTGATTCCTTCTCTAGCATCAACATATGGACAAGCAAAATCATAAGTTGGATAAACTTTATACTTGGATCCAATTCTATGATGAGGCATTGGATTGCAACGATAATAAACAGGATCTCGAAGTGATTTGTTGGGGTCCTGCATATCCAACTTGCCCCGGATACAACACTGCAAGCCCCTCTCTGTTCCGGCAATCATTTCCTTCCACAATTTTAAGTTCTCCTCTACACTATTATTCCTGCATTTGGATTCAATGCCATCCATTCTTTCCTTTTGCATTTGTTCACGTGGAGTATCATCAACATATGCTTTACCCTGGCGAATTAAATTTTCAGCCATTTCCATCAACTCAGGGAAGTAATCTGATGTATAGGTAATTTCTTCATATTTAATACCCAAAGTATCAATATCTTTCAACAGGTTGTCCACAAATTCATTACTTTCTTTAGCAGGATTGGTATCATCAAAACGCACAATAACCTGGCCCTGGTATCTCTCAGCAAAATATTTGTTTAACAGAGCTGCTTTTGAGTGTCCAATATGAAGATAGCCACTTGGTTCGGGTGCAAATCGCAAACGGACTTTTCCAACTTCAGCATCTGGAAGATCTATTTCTGCTGAAGGTTTGCTTCCTCCTTTTTGGTTCTCAGATACAGCCCCATTCACATTCTTCGCTCTATCAGTGATTACGGACTGGTCTTTTGACTTGTTTGCTGTTGGCTCTCCCGATCCTTTTTTGCCAACATATGCGGACGTGACTTCGTTCAAGGCAGTACCATGTTCTGTCACTATCGAATTGAACCATCGTACAAGATTTGTATATTTCTTTGATTTCCTTAGACTTTCCCATCTCTTTCCAGAACCTGCAAATAATAGCAAAAATAGAATCTATCTGAATACTGGGTCATAACCTATAAGCTGCCAAGCTAACATGATAAAAATAGAGAAACCGAAGAGATTTATTTTGGCTACACACTACCACAGCATTATGTAAAATTATTGGCCATAATATAGTTCCTGTGCTCAAAAGAACAGCCACACACTAAACCTAGTAGATCCTGATGGTTTGTTGGCATGGATACAGCATAGCAATAACCTCAAAATGCAATCATAAACACCATGATTTTCGCTTCCATAGGCAGTTTGTGTAAAAAATAGACGTAATTAATACATTTTACCTGCAAGGCCTGCCCAGATTGCTATGTCTGCAATTGACAACGAATAACCAACCAAAAATGTACGCTTCTCCAAGTACTCATCTATATATTTGCATGCATTCTCAAAAGCAGGGCCTGATGAGAGGATAGGAGCATACTCTATCCATTCATCAATCTGAAAAAGCAAAAGGTAAATGAAGAAATAAGATGATAGTGAGTTCATAACTAGAAGTAAAAGGATTCGCACAAAAGAACTATTTGGAAAACAATTCAAGAGATTAATGTAAAGCAACAGTGTAGTTGTCATGAAAAATATTCATCCTTCCATCTTCACTAAAACATCTTCAGGGACTCCATGCATTATTTTATTAAGTTACACAAAGAAAATCACCTGGCTAGATTCAAATGCATTTTGTCCATAGAAATTGGGAAGACTGGCAACCCGCCCAATATAACGTAGAAGAGCAAAAGTTCCTTGCAACTTTAGCCTGCAAAGTAAATGCACTCGTCAACTAATAATAGATAGTACACAAGGGTGCACTTCTTGTAAGAGAATAGGTGTTAATATCTAGCCATCACATAAACCCTTGTGTTTTCTCTCTTCAATTTCGAGATATTATTAGTACAATACGCACAGGAACCAAATTGAACATTGCCACAATCCATGTAAAACGCTATTCACACGGAAATGAAAGTCATATTAAACTTAAAACCCACATCACACTACATCATAAACGTACTAAATGATTACCATGGCTCCAAAATTGTCGATTGTACACAAAGTGGGGGCTTAAAAAATCAATTTGAAAAAAAATTTGCCAATCTTCTAGGATTGAAAACGAAATTCAACGCACATAAAAAATACAACGCTTCTGATTCTTTAGATTGAAGCATTTAACAAGTGCAGCTAGTTGTTATTCCGAGAAGTAAACATAGTGGGCGTGAAATGTTGAAGACTTGGGAGAAATGAACTTTGGGGAGGCGAAAAGTTGAAGAATTTGCAGAAATAAACAAATAGAGAGGAGATCGGAAATGTACCCATCGGAGAAGAGAAATGTAGGGGCCGAGTCGGTAGAGAGAGAGGTGTCAATCGAGGGAGATATTCCGGCGAGCCTGGCAGCGACGATTACCGGTAACGGCGGAGAAGATGCGGCGAAAGCAAAGGTTTTGATGTCCATGCTACGCTAGATTAACACTAAATAGACACTACACAGAACTTTGTTGATTGCTCCTTAATAGGTTCGACTAGGTTAAGGTGTTGAAGATAACTTGGATTTTATGTTCACTCTTCACTTCTCCACGTTCCAATTTTGACTTATTTTTTTGTTCTTTTTTTCCAACTGGGAGTTTTTGAACCCGAGCCCATTGAAAAATTGGCCCATTGAAAAACTTTCATCTCGAGATGAAGAAAAAGGAAGGTGTTTTTACTTTAAACGCAACATTTCCATAACAGCGCCTAGTTTTGGCAACTCTAGTAAAAAATATTACAAATTTTTAATGCACTGGCCAAGCCTTACCTGGTTTCCTTATTTTTTTTTTTTTTAGTTTTAGTGCAAAATATTTAATGCTAAAAAACTGGGGAAAATTTTGAATGATTAGGAAATGAAAGAAATTTAAACAAATAAAAATATTATCCTATGTTTAGATCACAAGACTAAAATATTTTTATTATAAGATCCCTTAACAACTTCTTTCCGTTTTTATAAAACTTAAAACCATGCAATTTATTAGTTTATTCTTATTGCAAGTTCAAGTGAATTTATTTCAAGTCCAAAATATTTCAACTGTTTTTTTCCAGTTTCTTTTTGGTCATTAATGTGAATCAGTTGTACTGTTGTACAATGTACTCGCTAGATAAAAGAAACAAGACTAACAGATAAATAAAACTGTGTTCACAAATATAAACATGTTGTTAGGTTCCAGACTTGGGAACCTAATATCAATTCTCACTTTCACTCCAAGAAACACAGAAAGATTGGAAGAAATCAATTGTATTCACAGTAAAAGGTTTGTACAAACAGCACCCAGAGGCATAACCCTCTTCAACAGGTAAGTACCCGTTAACAATCTAAACAATCAACAACCCATAACTCTTCTAACCAGCCAGTATTTATACAATCTTACACGCTCCCCCCCTTAACTGTCCTAGACAGTTAGTTTGTTATAGTCAGTTGCACTTATTCCTTCTCTCATACACTAACCACCTTTTCTTATTCCTATCACATGTAGTCTATGTACAAACCAATAAACTTAAGACAACTTATACGGCTGAATGCAGAAAATAGTCACGTGAAAAACCATGGGTAAAAAGAAAAGTTAAAAAGCAGGATAGGTTTTAACGTTCTATTCTGCAACAAATGATTCGTGACGATTGCTGTTTTTGCTGAAAGAATAAAGAAAGAAAAACTGGACTGAGTATAGATGAAGAAATGAGAATAAGATTAATAATACATTATTTACAACGTACACGTTACAAGAAGTAGTTAAAGAAACGTGAAACAAATAAAGCGTTACAATGGATGCAATTAATTTCTAGCTCCGTCCTCTTTATGATGTACAAAACAGATTGTGTTGCATCATCTTATTCTTTTCCAAAACTTTAAGCTTTCAAATTATGGGCTGCAGCAAGTTCAGCAGAGAGGATAAAAGCTGATTTGCCTGCTTCCCTTAGATAGCGAACATCTCCATTCATGAGCTTCAACAGCTTTCTGCTGATCAGTAGGCTCATACCCTCCTCCGATTCTAGTCCATTATTTCCAAACATCTGGTTCAGTAATGCTTCTGGCACCCCACTCCCACCATGTGTTATGCTACATAAATACCAAAAGTACACATTAATTAGCTCTTTATGTGGTAATGCAAACTAAGTTAAGCTGTAAATCATTTTATAATGCACAGTACTTGAGTACAAATAGCATAAATCAAATTATTAAGCATAGAACAGTTACCTGAGCTCTAACTTAACAAGATGGACCGACTTCCCTAACTGCTCTTTGGTTAGAGAGCCTGCTACAGCAACCTGGCCTCCATTTGGTGTGAAATTGATGGAAATAAGTAAGAAGTCAGCCAAGACCTGCTGAAGCCTTAGACTATCACCGTATAAAGTTTCCATTACGATTTGTTCTGCAACATCATTGACTATTCGGATACTCTTTCCATTACTTTTTGTCATGACTTGGCTAATGGAGGCAATCATTACTTCATGCAGAGTAAATTCAGCCATCTCAAGATCCAAGTAACTGTTAAACATAAGGGAGAGAAGATTTATAAAACTGTTAAGGAAAGATGCCAAGACAAATAAATGAGGGAAACTGTCTATTTTTTGATAATTTTTCACACACAAATTAACCTAGCACTACAATGAATTGTAAGCATCCATCTTTGATTATGCCTTCTCTAAAAAAAGCGTATAATTGAATATTCTATTTAGGTAACACCATAAAAGAACATGACTAAACTAAATAACGAGAACTATGAGATTAACAAAACATGACAACAAACACCCAATATCAGTTGTGTTATAATAGTACATTTTTTTGGAGTTTATTTGCACGAATGAGGTTAACTTTGTAGTCTTGAGTTTCAGTGAGGTTTCAAATTGGAACTTCTTTGCTTTCATAGGAGCTCCACCTAATAAACTCTTCACAACACATAAATCTATATAAGGGAAAAATATAACAATAATCAGATATCATACCCGTCTAAGATGCTGTCAAGATCTGAGTCATCAAGAATTTTGCTAAGTTGCCGCTGGCACTGAGCACTAGTATGCAGAAATTGTTTCTGTTCTGTTCCCAATTCAGTACCCTCCAACATTTTCCGTGAAAATATAATCCCACATAAAGGATTCCTGATCTGCCTTTTCATGTAAGTTAATGCATTCAATCTCTTCAAGGCAGTTTTTTCAGATAGACGCTGAATATGCAATGCTTGCTGGAGTTCCGGGCTAGCTAGCTGTAAGAAGCAGAAGACCCCAGTAACTAGGCCCTCTACGTCCAACTTCTTACTCACAGAAAGTAGGCACTCTACATACTTGCCATTCCGAGCCAAGAAACCAAAAGCAACTTTCTCTGTTTCTGAGCCAGTCATGGCTTTATTAAGTACAATGCCAAAATTAACAAAAGCTTCTTGGTTCTTTAGTCGACAACAAGACATCTGGGTGCCAAAAACCTCTCCCAAAAGCATTTTATCCATCACCTCCTCTCGCTTCCATCCAGTTAACTTTGACATAGCTGGATTCCACTCACAACACCAGCCAAATTCATCTGTGCCAAATATAGGGGGGATTAATGGATTGGGGTTCTGTACAATTGCCTTGTAATCACCTTCAATACGTGTGAATTTGTCCATTACATTCTTCTGAGCAGTTATATCATGAGCCACAAAGCAAACACCAACAACATTGTCTCGAAGATCCCTGCTTGCACAAGCGTTTACTACTAGACTAATAGGACCAGAGTCCATCTTGGACCCGAACGTTTTGATCTCAAATTGAACATTCTTCTCTTCTTCACCTAATTAACAGAACATAGCAACAATTTAAAAATATGCAAAGCAGGTTAAAATAATCTAATCCCATTGTATCAGAGAAATTGTACCAAATCCTCCCACCGAGCCCCAAAAAATATAAAATGAACACAAATCCTAGGGTGTACCATTTCTTCTCAAGAAACTGTCAAAAAGACACCTTTCTTCTGAGAATTCTCAATAAATGCAACATTCATGGGTGGCTTTAGGAAACATAATAGACAAAAGACACAAACTAATTCGTCGACAGGGCTTGAAAAATAAAGAAAATAAGTGTATAGAAAAGGATAAGATGGATAAAGAACATACCTTGTAGTGCCAAGTCAAGCATCTTCTTGACTCTATCAGTTGAAGAATCCTCGACAAGTGTGAGTAAATGTTTTCCAATAGCTTCACCAACTGGAAGACCTGTCAACTCAGCAACTTTTATGTTCCACCCGTTTACAAGCCCATCGACATCAACTGCCAAAATAGGCACTGTTGCTGTTTCAATCAACCTAACCATCTCGCTTGTAACTGCTTCCAGTTCCTGCATCCCTTCGATCTTCAGATCACTTAGTTTTGTATTAATTGCAGTTGTCTGTAAATCTGTACCCTCAGAATCTCTGAATGCATTTCTCAGTATTAACTGTAAGGAATGAATGGCATCCATTTCATAGTCCTTCCACGGCAAGCTCCTTGCCTTCACGACTTGAAGGAAAGCCTTGAATGACGATCTCGGATGCATCCTCCTACCGTCATCTTTTTCTCCAGCCTCATGCTTTGCACCACCCCATCGGATTTCTGCAGCAGTGTGTGACCGAAACCAAAATACCACGTCTTTCGAAGTAATTCTGACAGCTGCCATTCCACACACAACATCACCCATAGAAAGAGCCGATGGGAAGCCTGCATCAGACAAGCTATCCGTACTCAAGCCTGTGGAATCCATATGGTACTCGGACAGCCACAGAGAAATCTCTCTTATCTGGGATTCACTTGGTGTCACTCCTAATCTCCATAACTTGTTCTTATATAAGAGTGCTGCTCCATCACATTTCACTAGATCCATTATATTAGGGCTCTGTGATACAATTCCAAGGGGTGCATCTCGCATCAGCATATCACACAAGAGTGTCTGTGTGCGGAGGATATTCTTCTCAATAATCTGATATTCTAACTCTATTTCTTTGTTCACATGGATGGCAAATACTTGGGCCAGAAATTCACAAGCATACCTAAGAGGAAAGGGAACGAACCTGGGAGTAGTGTTATGGCAAACTACCAAACCCCAAAGTCTCTTCCTTTTTTGTGGCTGAACAGCATCAGTGTCACCATCTTCTTCGTTGTCATTGACTACAACTGCCATGACCAGGGAAGCAATTGAATCCATGTTTGCCATGTATTGAGCATGACAACTATGAGGAGCCCTCAAGGTGGAACCACACAAAGTCAAATCAAATGGGAGTTTTTCATCTTGCAGAACTTTAACGTGTTTTGCATGACAATCAACTATCATACGGACCTTGTTCTTCATAAATAAAAAGCGTGAAGCCTGGGGAATATCTGTGGCTGGATAATGCAAACCCAAATATGGCTCAAGGCCTGGCTTTGTTATCTCAGCAATCACCTCCCCATGGTCATCATCGTGAAATTTATAAGCCATCACCCTGTCATAGCCTGTGAGCTCAAAAACTTCTTGAACCATTGTATCACATAATCTGTCCATGCTTCCACTAGGCAAAGATTGCAACCGGGTAATTGCTTTGGCAGCAAGCTTGTAAGACTGCAAGGCACCAGCTGCAGTCATGGGAACTTCATAAGGCTTGACTGGCTCAAAGTCAATGATCAAACTGCCAGTAACACGATGAATAATCGCATAAAAGGGCTTCCCAGAGGTCTTGCAATGAACAAGGATCGGGTTAAGAAGTGAAACCTCCCCAAATCCCAGAGCCTTTTGCAATGCAGAAGCACTAGGTGCTGTGAACAAAGTTTTTATGTCAGTGCCAATGCCAAGGGCAGGGTGGTCACCAACACTGGGGACAGCATGACTAACCATGGTCAGCATTTCAGGAGCGTTCTCACTGTATGCAATGACCTTGCATGTTTTCTCATCTAAAGCCAACAAGCATCCAAAAGGCTGAATCATCTTTCCTCTCTGTATGTTATGGAGGTAAGCTGTCGTAACTTTATCAGACCTTGGTTGATTGACTCCATCAGCTGTACCAGAGACTCGCACCGAACTGGAGTAATCAAAGGAACTACCAGACTCCTCAAAAGTTGCATGAAGCTTTGCATCTACAGTTGTCTGGGCAAGAACCCTAGCACTATGTCTTGATCTCCCTGAATTGCTGGATGATTGGCTGGGTCTCGAGGAAGACATTTTCACTCCAAACTGCACTTCAAATGTAAATATAAGAAGAGTAAGTTAATTGGAATCATATAACAACCTAAGAAAACAACTTAAATCTAATATCGATTTACTCCAATGCCAATCTCTCCTCTCCTGCTCATGTAACAATTCAACAGGAGAAGAACAAATTTCCAAAACCTTTTCAATATGACAAAGTATCCAAAGGCTAACCTGCCACTAATAACTTATTCTATTACCCAATCACAGAATACCAACAATCCCCACTCCTCACTTAAATAAACACACATCATTATTGTTCGTCTCATCTCTAGAGCCTATGCAAATTATGAACAACAACAACCCAATCATCCAACTCCACATGCTTACAGATAGAATAAAACTGGGCACTATTATTCTTGATTTTCAAGAAAATTGATCACGCTGTACGTCAATACAGAGAATAACTAAGAGCCGACAAAACAATTCCAGTAAAAAAATAACATATTAAGCTGAAAAAACAGACACCCATGAAAGTCAACAGGATAACATATATGGGGGAAGAAAAGACGGGATGGCAGGAGGAAGGGGAAAGGTAAAAGTAAAATCAAGAGAATAGAGAGTGGAGAAAAAGGTAAGGGTGGAAGGAAACGAACCTCGAAAGGGAAAGAGTGAGAAGAAGAAAAGGAAGGAAGCAATGAAGATAACGGATGTTAAGGGTTAAAATAAAGAAAAGAGGTGTGGGCAACAACACCCATGTCTCCCTTCCTCTCCGTGGAATCCAACTCCCTCTTCGAACTCACCACAACTGTGACCAGGGACCGCCATGCCATAAAGATATCATTTTTATAGTACCCACTTCCACAACCATGTGAATGTGAATGTGGGAGTTACTGGGGAACGAACTCAGACTGAAATAAATAATAAAAAAAACACTAAACAAAATCATCATTATTCGTTCAACAGTTAAATGCTTCCGATATTTATGAGTGGCCAATAAACAAAGATGAACATCTATTATTTTAGAATAACACTATCAATTTCCCCCTTCTTATGTTAAAAGCGATAAAACCAGGTGAGTGGGCATAATATTTAAACACTGTTAGAAAGTATATGAACAGTGAGTTAGAGTTGAAAACAGAGATTCTTGGTTTACCTAAAAAATTAAAAATTTACAGTGTGGAGATTAATAAAAAAAGATTTGAGCATTGAGTTGTGAGAAAAAAGAATTAGATTTGGTTTTACAGGGGACAAAAGTTTAGATTGTGTGTGAGAAAGTGTGCATTTATTAAGGATATAAAAAGTAAGTAAAATGTGCAAGTGGGCTTGGTGTTGTTATTGGTTCACTAAAACAGACAATAAGGACAGTTGTGGATCATGGATGGGAGGTTTTACTACGCCTGTTGCCTCCTGCTTTCACTTCATCACTTCCTTTCAACACTCACCTTCCATTTCGGATTTCATCGCGCCACCCAATTACACCCATCTCACAACCACTTTCATATTTCATATGTTAAATCTCATTCAATTTTTTTTAACTCTTATGGGGGGATGCAGTCCAAGTATATGTAATAATGTCACTGGCTATTGGAGAATGAATCAGCAAATGAAAAGGAGTGCGTAGAGTGAAAGAAAGAAGGGTTATTTTTTATTAATATTTGTGGGGTAATTCGCTGTGATTGGATAGCCGTCCCATACCTTGGGTTTGGAGATGAGAAAGAATAATAATAGTAAGAACAAGAAAGTGAGTTATGGGTATCACGTGCACTCCTCAAAGCTGTGTCATGCTGCAGCTGCTGTGAGAGTGAGTGTGTGTGTGTGTAAGACTGTAAAGTAAGAAAGAAAAAATGAAAAAAGAAAAAAGAATAGTTTGAATTCCATGCTAAATTCTGGGTTTGAATTCAAGGCACAGTGTCTGTCTGCGTGACTGGGCGTGGATCATCACAACCATAACTGACGTAAACCAACAAATGAGCCCATGCCGTGTAGCGCTGTAATCTTGCACTGTAGGGTCTGCACAACATTTTTTCTGAATCTAGTCATTTTCCTACCCTTTAAGGTTTCTTCTTATTTTATTCCTTTTTTTTATAACTATACTGTTTTCATTAAATAATTTATTTGCTATTCTTTTATTCATAAAACAACAAACTGCATGTTCCCAACCGAACTTACTCGACCTATTTCTTTCTAATTTAAAAGAAACCTAAAATTAGTATGTTGATTCAATGAACACATGTTTGAAGGATTGCCATTTATTTTAGGCAACAATCATGGCCTTTGGCCTTGGTCATGTTGTCTTTAATTATTAGGAGATGACGCTTTGTACATTTAGGTTTAATATTTTGTGCTTGGTAAAAAGAGAGACGTGTTGTTGCGATTGAGATTTTGAGTCAAAGTAAAAAAAAGTCATTTCTATTTCTAATTTTTTTTAAATTAAATTAAATTAAAATATAGGATATGTGATTTTGAAAATGTAGAAAATAAATTATAGTGCAGGTAATTGTTAGAAAAAAAAATTAAAATTAAAATTAAAATTATGTGAATTTTAGTTTTAACTTAATTTTATAAATTTGATTTATAAAATAAGATTTATATACAATTATATATTATAAGTTAATTATATATAATAAATTAGAGACTTTGAATATATATTTTTACGTGAGGTATATATATCTAAAATATAAAATTAAATATTAATGAATGGTTTAATAATAGATGAAACAATAAATTAATAAATAATAAATTTTAATGAGATAAAATTTTACTTATGGTTTTGGTATGTCACCAAATATGATTTAAATTAATAATGCATTAAACTTATGTTAGTATTCATTTGTATCTAGACACTTAGTTATGTTATAAATTTAAAAGGATAATGATACTTCGACAACATTTTAACATTATTTACCTGTCATTATGTGATTGGTCCAAAATTATTTCACAATCAATAATAATAATCATAAACATCAATATGAACCAATCACATAATGACACGTAGATAATGTTAAAATGTTGTTAAAGTATCATTATCCAATTTAAAATTAGTGTCATAAATTCATTAATGGATTTTTAAGAATGATACTGAGTGTTGAGACAAATTTGCAAAGATCTTCTAAATAATAAAAAGTCGTGCATTGTGAACAGTTTTTTCACATAATGTTTTGCTATAAAAATCTAATTTATGATAGATTTATGAGTATAAGGATTTAAGATTATTTGTAGATTGAAAATATTGAGGTTAAAGAAAAAGTTTAACTTTTAGTTGTACTTGAATCCTATGTATTCTTTTTAGCATGCCAAAGTGGAAATGTTACAAGAAAGGCAACAACCCATAACTCTTACCCTTGCATCGCTTTCAAACATTCCAATGGTTTCAATATTTTGATTTTGTGGGACGACAGCTAAGTCTCACATCTTGTTGAACAACCAAACTGTTTTATTTTTAGAAAGTCAAGCGTAATGTTATATAAGTAGCCAAAAAAATCACAAAGTAAATGCATTTTCCTAACTTTATTACTCTTTTTATTTATTATTCCATTCACTAATTTAATATCAAAGTCTCTTTGGAACTATATTTTATTTCGACCTCAACTTGAATTGCTTCCATGGTTTTTCTGCAATTGGAGAAGTTGATTCTACTTTCGTACTACATTTGAACTAGAAAAAAGAATAAATTATATAAAATGAAAATAAAATATTTATTGTACTTTTTAGATACGATACTATTAAATGAAACAAAAATTCATTTTCCCTTATTTGAAAACAATATGAAGGTAAAACTGAGTGAAATAAGTAATAACAGTTTTTATTTCATTTCCCTTTTGTCAATTGTTCTTCATCTATTACAACGTAGTGTAGGCAGATAATTAATTAAATTCGAACATTGTTCAAATATTTTTCTTTCAAAAATTAATCAATTCAATATGCAGTTATCCAGATAAATTGGAGGGCTTTAGATTTTTAAACGCTATTCACTGAAGAAGTTACCCACCTTTTTTTGTGTATTATTCCATTAATTTCATCTAATCATAAAAAACCTTTAAAGTGGTATCAAAAATAAATCTATAAGGATTTGATCCAAAATTAACAATATATATCTTATCATTATGGAAACTTATGTGCATTGACCTTAACTAAATATTAATAAATAAAAAAACTTTACTATAATGCCAGAAACAAAATTATAAGAAGCTAATTTATACGTATTATAAAGTGCTAATTATATCATAATATTGTTTCTAGCTAACTAGACTGCATCATATTACACTTTTATAAGTTATTATTGTAAATTTTGATAAATGTATTATCTTATATATTGACTTGTAATTGAATAATAAATGATAATGTATATTGCCATATTTCTAACTTATTAGACTAAATAATAATAACTTTGGGCACGTGGACTAATTTGATTTAATATCAAGTTAGTTATACTTTTTCTTTCAATATTAGAAGGTGCTCATTGGCGGTTTATTATTTGTTTAACAATATTGCATGAAGATAATTAGAAAAATTATCACGCTTTTATTCTCAAACTTTTCATCGTTAAATTATCTTTATCTCTTTTCTGTTTTAAAAATCAATAAACTATTTAAAGAAACAATTTTAAAAAGTTTGGCTTCACGCTCATTAATATTTTCTTTCTTTCTTTCTTTCTTCAAATTATCAAACTTAAATATCAAAATTAAGTAACATAACATATTAAAAGAAATAACAAATAACACACCCATATATAGCACTTTTTCTTTTAATATTAAAGTGAATCTCTACAATTGTTGGAAAAGAATCATAAATGGAAAATAAAATTAGATTAGCTAATATAAATTGGTAGAGCTAATAGTATATTAATTAAGCAGGTAAAATTTGTTGTGTGTAAGAAGAGATATTCTTATGTATTTTATTATAAAATTGAATAATTGAGTTTNCTAACCATGGTCAGCATTTCAGGAGCGTTCTCACTGTATGCAATGACCTTGCATGTTTTCTCATCTAAAGCCAACAAGCATCCAAAAGGCTGAATCATCTTTCCTCTCTGTATGTTATGGAGGTAAGCTGTCGTAACTTTATCAGACCTTGGTTGATTGACTCCATCAGCTGTACCAGAGACTCGCACCGAACTGGAGTAATCAAAGGAACTACCAGACTCCTCAAAAGTTGCATGAAGCTTTGCATCTACAGTTGTCTGGGCAAGAACCCTAGCACTATGTCTTGATCTCCCTGAATTGCTGGATGATTGGCTGGGTCTCGAGGAAGACATTTTCACTCCAAACTGCACTTCAAATGTAAATATAAGAAGAGTAAGTTAATTGGAATCATATAACAACCTAAGAAAACAACTTAAATCTAATATCGATTTACTCCAATGCCAATCTCTCCTCTCCTGCTCATGTAACAATTCAACAGGAGAAGAACAAATTTCCAAAACCTTTTCAATATGACAAAGTATCCAAAGGCTAACCTGCCACTAATAACTTATTCTATTACCCAATCACAGAATACCAACAATCCCCACTCCTCACTTAAATAAACACACATCATTATTGTTCGTCTCATCTCTAGAGCCTATGCAAATTATGAACAACAACAACCCAATCATCCAACTCCACATGCTTACAGATAGAATAAAACTGGGCACTATTATTCTTGATTTTCAAGAAAATTGATCACGCTGTACGTCAATACAGAGAATAACTAAGAGCCGACAAAACAATTCCAGTAAAAAAATAACATATTAAGCTGAAAAAACAGACACCCATGAAAGTCAACAGGATAACATATATGGGGGAAGAAAAGACGGGATGGCAGGAGGAAGGGGAAAGGTAAAAGTAAAATCAAGAGAATAGAGAGTGGAGAAAAAGGTAAGGGTGGAAGGAAACGAACCTCGAAAGGGAAAGAGTGAGAAGAAGAAAAGGAAGGAAGCAATGAAGATAACGGATGTTAAGGGTTAAAATAAAGAAAAGAGGTGTGGGCAACAACACCCATGTCTCCCTTCCTCTCCGTGGAATCCAACTCCCTCTTCGAACTCACCACAACTGTGACCAGGGACCGCCATGCCATAAAGATATCATTTTTATAGTACCCACTTCCACAACCATGTGAATGTGAATGTGGGAGTTACTGGGGAACGAACTCAGACTGAAATAAATAATAAAAAAAACACTAAACAAAATCATCATTATTCGTTCAACAGTTAAATGCTTCCGATATTTATGAGTGGCCAATAAACAAAGATGAACATCTATTATTTTAGAATAACACTATCAATTTCCCCCTTCTTATGTTAAAAGCGATAAAACCAGGTGAGTGGGCATAATATTTAAACACTGTTAGAAAGTATATGAACAGTGAGTTAGAGTTGAAAACAGAGATTCGTGGTTTACCTAAAAAATTAAAAATTTACAGTGTGGAGATTAATAAAAAAAGATTTGAGCATTGAGTTGTGAGAAAAAAGAATTAGATTTGGTTTTACAGGGGACAAAAGTTTAGATTGTGTGTGAGAAAGTGTGCATTTATTAAGGATATAAAAAGTAAGTAAAATGTGCAAGTGGGCTTGGTGTTGTTATTGGTTCACTAAAACAGACAATAAGGACAGTTGTGGATCATGGATGGGAGGTTTTACTACGCCTGTTGCCTCCTGCTTTCACTTCATCACTTCCTTTCAACACTCACCTTCCATTTCGGATTTCATCGCGCCACCCAATTACACCCATCTCACAACCACTTTCATATTTCATATGTTAAATCTCATTCAATTTTTTTTAACTCTTATGGGGGGATGCAGTCCAAGTATATGTAATAATGTCACTGGCTATTGGAGAATGAATCAGCAAATGAAAAGGAGTGCGTAGAGTGAAAGAAAGAAGGGTTATTTTTTATTAATATTTGTGGGGTAATTCGCTGTGATTGGATAGCCGTCCCATACCTTGGGTTTGGAGATGAGAAAGAATAATAATAGTAAGAACAAGAAAGTGAGTTATGGGTATCACGTGCACTCCTCAAAGCTGTGTCATGCTGCAGCTGCTGTGAGAGTGAGTGTGTGTGTGTGTAAGACTGTAAAGTAAGAAAGAAAAAATGAAAAAAGAAAAAAGAATAGTTTGAATTCCATGCTAAATTCTGGGTTTGAATTCAAGGCACAGTGTCTGTCTGCGTGACTGGGCGTGGATCATCACAACCATAACTGACGTAAACCAACAAATGAGCCCATGCCGTGTAGCGCTGTAATCTTGCACTGTAGGGTCTGCACAACATTTTTTCTGAATCTAGTCATTTTCCTACCCTTTAAGGTTTCTTCTTATTTTATTCCTTTTTTTTATAACTATACTATTTTCATTAAATAATTTATTTGCTATTCTTTTATTCATAAAACAACAAACTGCATGTTCCCAACCGAACTTACTCGACCTATTTCTTTCTAATTTAAAAGAAACCTAAAATTAGTATGTTGATTCAATGAACACATGTTTGAAGGATTGCCATTTATTTTAGGCAACAATCATGGCCTTTGGCCTTTGTCATGTTGTCTTTAATTATTAGGAGATGACGCTTTGTACATTTAGGTTTAATATTTTGTGCTTGGTAAAAAGAGAGACGTGTTGTTGCGATTGAGATTTTGAGTCAAAGTAAAAAAAAAAAAAAAAGTCATTTCTATTTCTAATATTTTTTAAATTAAATTAAATTAAAATATAGGATATGTGATTTTGAAAATGTAGAAAATAAATTATAGTGCAGGTAATTGTTAGAAAAAAAAATTAAAATTAAAATTAAAATTATGTGAATTTTAGTTTTAACTTAATTTTATAAATTTGATTTATAAAATAAGATTTATATACAATTATATATTATAAGTTAATTATATATAATAAATTAGAGACTTTGAATATATATTTTTACGTGAGGTATATATATCTAAAATATAAAATTAAATATTAATGAATGGTTTAATAATAGATGAAACAATAAATTAATAAATAATAAATTTTAATGAGATAAAATTTTACTTATGGTTTTGGTATGTCACCAAATATGATTTAAATTAATAATGCATTAAACTTATGTTAGTATTCATTTGTATCTAGACACTTAGTTATGTTATAAATTTAAAAGGATAATGATACTTCGACAACATTTTAACATTATTTACCTGTCATTATGTGATTGGTCCAAAATTATTTCACAATCAATAATAATAATCATAAACATCAATATGAACCAATCACATAATGACACGTAGATAATGTTAAAATGTTGTTAAAGTATCATTATCCAATTTAAAATTAGTGTCATAAATTCATTAATGGATTTTTAAGAATGATACTGAGTGTTGAGACAAATTTGCAAAGATCTTCTAAATAATAAAAAGTCGTGCATTGTGAACAGTTTTTTCACATAATGTTTTGCTATAAAAATCTAATTTATGATAGATTTATGAGTATAAGGATTTAAGATTATTTGTAGATTGAAAATATTGAGGTTAAAGAAAAAGTTTAACTTTTAGTTGTACTTGAATCCTATGTATTCTTTTTAGCATGCCAAAGTGGAAATGTTACAAGAAAGGCAACAACCCATAACTCTTACCCTTGCATCGCTTTCAAACATTCCAATGGTTTCAATATTTTGATTTTGTGGGACGACAGCTAAGTCTCACATCTTGTTGAACAACCAAACTGTTTTATTTTTAGAAAGTCAAGCGTAATGTTATATAAGTAGCCAAAAAAATCACAAAGTAAATGCATTTTCCTAACTTTATTACTCTTTTTATTTATTATTCCATTCACTAATTTAATATCAAAGTCTCTTTGGAACTATATTTTATTTCGACCTCAACTTGAATTGCTTCCATGGTTTTTCTGCAATTGGAGAAGTTGATTCTACTTTCGTACTACATTTGAACTAGAAAAAAGAATAAATTATATAAAATGAAAATAAAATATTTATTGTACTTTTTAGATACGATACTATTAAATGAAACAAAAATTCATTTTCCCTTATTTGAAAACAATATGAAGGTAAAACTGAGTGAAATAAGTAATAACAGTTTTTATTTCATTTCCCTTTTGTCAATTGTTCTTCATCTATTACAACTTAGTGTAGGCAGATAATTAATTAAATTCGAACATTGTTCAAATATTTTTCTTTCAAAAATTAATCAATTCAATATGCAGTTATCCAGATAAATTGGAGGGCTTTAGATTTTTAAACGCTATTCACTGAAGAAGTTACCCACCTTTTTTTGTGTATTATTCCATTAATTTCATCTAATCATAAAAAACCTTTAAAGTGGTATCAAAAATAAATCTATAAGGATTTGATCCAAAATTAACAATATATATCTTATCATTAATTATGGAAACTTATGTGCATTGACCTTAACTAAATATTAATAAATAAAAAAACTTTACTATAATGCCAGAAACAAAATTATAAGAAGCTAATTTATACGTATTATAAAGTGCTAATTATATCATAATATTGTTTCTAGCTAACTAGACTGCATCATATTACACTTTTATAAGTTATTATTGTAAATTTTGATAAATGTATTATCTTATATATTGACTTGTAATTGAATAATAAATGATAATGTATATTGCCATATTTCTATCTTATTAGACTAAATAATAATAACTTTTGGCACGTGGACTAATTTGATTTAATATCAAGTTAGTTATACTTTTTCTTTCAATATTAGAAGGTGCTCATTGGCGGTTTATTATTTGTTTAACAATATTGCATGAAGATAATTAGAAAAATTATCACGCTTTTATTCTCAAACTTTTCATCGTTAAATTATCTTTATCTCTTTTCTGTTTTAAAAATCAATAAACTATTTAAAGAAACAATTTTAAAAAGTTTGGCTTCACGCTCATTAATATTTTCTTTCTTTCTTTCTTTCTTCAAATTATCAAACTTAAATATCAAAATTAANATTTCTAATATTTTTTAAATTAAATTAAATTAAAATATAGGATATGTGATTTTGAAAATGTAGAAAATAAATTATAGTGCAGGTAATTGTTAGAAAATAAAAATAAAATTAAAACTATGTGAGTTTTAGTTTTAACTTAGTTTTATAAATTTGATTTGCAAAATAAGATTTATATACAATTATATATTATAAGTTAATTATATATAATAAATTAGAGACTTTGAATATATATTTTTACCCTGAGGTATATATATCTAAAATATAAAATTAAATATTAATGAATGGTTTAATAATAGATGAAACAATAAATTAATAAATAACAAATTTTAATGAGATAAAATTTAACTTATGGTTTTGGTATGTCACAAATATGATTTAAATTAATAATGTATTAAACTTATGTTAGTATTCATTTATATCTAGACACTTAGTTATGTTATAAATTTAAAAGGATAATATACTTCGACAATATTTTAACATTATCTACGTGTCATTATGTGATTGGTCCAAAGTTATTTCACAATCAATAATAATAATTATAAACACCAATATGAATCAATCACATAATGACACGTAGATAATGTTAAAATGTTGTTAAAGTATCATTATCCAATTTAAAATTAGTGTGATAAATTCATTAATCGATTTTTAAGAATGATATTGAGTGTTGAGACAAATTCGCAAAGATCTTCTAAATAATAAAAAGTCGGGCATTGTCAACAGTTTTTTCACATGATGTTTTGCTGTAAAAATCTAATATATGATAGATTCATGAGTATAAGGATTTAAGATTATTTGTAGATTGAAAATATTGAGGTTAAAGAAAAAGTTTAACTTTTAGTTGTACTTGAATCCTATGTATTTTT